GGTGTGTGGGAGAGGGAGAGAGAGGGAGAGAGGGGGGGGGGGGTGGGATGGGGTGGGAGAGATTTAAATCATGATTGAATACAGCAAACGGAATTCTCATCTCTCCTTTTTGTGGTAAGCCTTGAATTCTGGCATTTCAGAACCAGTCACTGACACTGACTCAATAATTTATTCTCTGTGCGTTTCACTCTTCCCTTTGCCCCATCCTGTGACTTGGTATAAAGCTACAGCGGTTAAAAGAATAAATGGGATTTGAATGCATGGATGTAGCTCAGTTCATTCGTACCAGTTGTCTTTTGTTTCTGTGACCCAGATGAGCACTGAGAAGTGACAGCACCACATATTGTTCTGTGTATTCGACATATATTTTTGAATGTCAGTGCTTTTTAATCCCGGTGCCTTTTCACATCTTCTGTTATGCAATTCATTTTTCCAAGTTGGTTGAGTTGGGACCTGGGATGTGTGATTTGTCAAGCCATTTGAATGCAACACAGTAGGTAACAGAAAATAGCTGTAACCATCTAAAGTGTGTAAACAGAGTGCTAAACTACGATCAGGAGTTGAAATACTACATTTCATGGAGAAATAACACAGAATTCAAATGACTGTATTTGGACTTATTTATATATTTATAACTAGATCAGTAAGGGAACAAGGATATTTTTAATACATGAAAAAGGAATATTTCCCCCTCAAAATGGCTTTTGTACCGCAAACCACCTCTTCCCTAGATTACTCTAGATACATAGATATAATTTACCTATCTATATATATTGTAGATACATTTAAAGTAAATGTACTTTAGGCAACCAGAACATTTGAAATTATATCTGTGGTGTTCGCGAACTACATAATGATGTAGACCTGAAGCAGGTTTTGTGTATTCTATTTTACTACAACTAATAAAAAACTGTTTTTAGAGTACTTACTTCTACACATCCAGCCTCTTGAGTTGTTGATGGTCTCTACTCATTGCATACGGAGGACACTAGCATGGGTATTGTTGTCTCTTTGCCTGTAAAAGATGGGTCTCAATATTTTCCATCAGAAGGAAATATTTGTATCTCTGGGTTAAACTGGGGGAGCTGTGCTCTAGGGCGACTCTTCACAGACAGCTTCATGCATATTTCTGCCTGTTCTGTCAAAGGGAGGGAACAATATGGCTGATAGGTACACAGCTGTTACTTTCTAAGCTATTTCTTCAGACATCACAGTTTACGATGGAAGAACCTCTACGTTAACTTGTAAAGGCTGCTTCTCACAAAGGTAGAGATGAAAGCAAGAAAATCTTTGAAGCTGTGGAATGCAGAAAGAAGGCTAACTTTTCTATTGCCTTGTTTTATAGTATTTTTGGGAACCAGTGAGAACCATATTTATGGCTTTGCAGTCGATCAGGCACGCTTGACGAAATCTTAAAACGTTTCCAGCGTTTGCCGGCAATTACGAACAAGCGAAGCAAATGTGAGCAAACGTCATCTTCTCAGTGAGGTGACCAGGCCGCTGGTCTGAATATTTTTCTCTGTCCCCTTCCCCTCTGTGGACACGTTTCTAGCAAGCTGCTTCCCTCCCCACAAAGGAAAGCAGGTTAAAATGACTGAAGATGAACTGAATTTCAAGCAGAGAACAAGTTGGATGTTGCTGTTTGGCTTCCAGAGCTTGGCCTTTCGTGGCTCTGTGTGGATTGCCCCTTTCCTTCAGTTCCTCAGTAGTCTGGAGCGCGTGTGGCTGCCTTAGTGCCAGACACCACTGCGGAATAAGGTCTTATACGTGTAAGCTCTTGAATGCTTCCTGAAATCAAGAGGACTTGTCAGGTTCCTGCAGCTTATTTACTCCTGATTTTTCATATTTCTTTAGCATATTGTCTTTCTTGATTACGAATTCTAGTTTTGTTATTCTTAATCAAATGCTTTGGATTTCCGAGGAATCCAAACCAGCAAGTTGTTTTTCTTGTCTAAAATAGCATTCTTCTACTCCCAGATGAATTCAGTTCAATTCCCACATTCCTTGAAAATCATTTGAAATGTTCTTGATAGGTTGCTTATGAGTAATACCCTCCTTGGTTAAGGAGATTGGATAGCCTTTGAACAACTTCTTACTTCATAAGCGAGGCTGAATTTGGGGATCCAGCAGTGTAGAGACACAGTGTAACTTATTTTATTGGTGAAAAGCAAAAAAAAAAGTGGGGGAATTCTACACTCACCTTGGAAATCTTCAATTTAGAAACCTGCTTTTGCATGACTGCTATTACTGTATAGTTAACTCTACATTGCAGTCCCCTTCCACCTGTACGATTATACTTCATAAGGTTGGGAAGGGTATCCCCTAGGATTCAATCATCTGCCTAGAATATGAACAGCATTGAATGGTTGATCCCTGCTCAAGAGTCCCAGCCAAAGCCTGGGGAGATTTGGGTTCAGCTTTGCAGTCTCAAGTGAGTTTGTTCAGGATGGAGTCAGCCTGTCTTCTGCTCTTTACTCCATCCTTCTTTTTTCACAATGGCATCTTCTTTGCTGGCTGGCACTCCGGCCTTTCATGCTTGACTGTTGGAGGAACCAGTCTTCATTTGAAGGAGCACAGTTTTGCAGTCTCCTATTAGAGACTGGATATTTTTTTCTAAAATTGGCCCTGCTTTGGCAGGGCTCTGCCCACTGCAATTTTTTTGCAGAAGATTATGAAAACCTTCTCATGTTGACAAAAGCCTATAGAGTTTGCAATCAGTACGTGTCGTCTTCTCTTTTCCATTGATTCTGAGGACAACAGTGTTTTTTTGCACAATTGTCTGTTATTCTGTCTGCTTTGTGTTTCTTGTACTGGTCCCACGAATGACAATTCCTGCCATTAATGTATAGATACCAGATTTGGTGTTCTATCATCTTCTGCTGTAGTGATACTGACACTCCAGCCCCCTTTCCTAAATAATCAAAGCTGGATTTAAAGACACGGTCTTTGAAATCACAGATCACTACAGGTGATTGTCCCAAAGAAAAAATGGAAGATCTCCTTATCAGTTTCCGGAAGGCATTTGGCTGGATGCTGTTAGAAATTGAATAAACAAAACAGATTCTCAGAGTTGTTGAAGTTGCTTATATTTTTGAAAATGTCCTGTGCAATATTATCCCATACATTGTCTTATAATTTAGATTACCTTGGGAGCTGTTAGACACTTGGAATACATTCAAGGGTCACTTTCCAGACATAGCCCTTTGAGTGTGTTTTTGCGTGTAGATATTTCCATTCCCTGTGGATATGCCCTGGTTCATTTCAGTTCCTTAGTGATAGCCTACTGGATAAACTATTAAAGTTTCTGTCCTCAATGTAAATAAGTTCATTCACAACCTGAGCACAAGTTCTCTGTGTACTTACATTTTTTCTGCCTTCAGATCTAACCTTCAGGTTACCCTATGAGCTCCAGGGTCAACAGGGCATACATGTAGTGAATAGTTCCTTCAAAGAACCCCTTCAGATTGCTTGCCACAGTAGTAGCTTAAGAAGAAGCATTTCACCTAAGATTAAATTGAGGTTAGTAGGTAAGTTAGATTTCCCAGTACTAAGCCATAATGCTTCAGGAAATCCCAGCCGTTGGCATCGAGAGGTAATTAATAACTGTGGAGTTCTCAACATAGCTTGATTTGTTCTGTTTTTTTAAATACATTTAGCCCTGACTTGAAAACAATTCCCGAAGGATCAGGAGTGGTGCACCCATCCGCCGTTCCTCCCGCAAAGCCCACTGAGGCCAAGGAAGACCACAGTTCTAATTCAAAGGCTATTCCAGATACAGATACTGAACCCTCAGACACAGAGAAGATGGTAGGTGAAGTAGCTTCCAAGTCACTGAAGACTGAAGACTCGGAAGAGGACTCTGAAGCGTTAAAAGAAGACTTTAGGCCAAGCACTCCGGCTACAAGCGAGGATTTTGAATCATCTGAAATGCAACCTGAGGAAGCGTTTGCTTTGTCATCCACTCTGGAAAAGGAAGAAAAAGAAACAAACAAATCTGACAATGAATTGCTGAGAGAGGCCTCTCCATCTGCTGGAGAGGAGACAAATGAAGAATTAGCTCCTCTTCCTGGGAAAGCAGAAGAGTGGCAGAGTGTCTCAACGACAGAGAGCGCGGGAGCCCTCTCTGCCCCAGCCGTGGAAGGAGAAGACACAGCTACAGACTTAAGGCTGGGGGCTACAGAAGCTCCACTGGAGGAAATGCCAAGTACTGATATTCTGTCAGATAGCAGGTTGATGTCTCCAGAAGCAGATAGTGCTGAAGCCACTCTGGGCTTAGCAGAAACACCTGCTCCCAGAGTTCAGATGAAGATGGAGGAAGAGTTGGAGGGCCCCTTGACCACAACTCAGCCAAGTGTGGAGGTGGCAACAGAGCCAGCAATGGTGGAAATGAAGGAAAATGTAAAAGAAAAGCCTCAGCTGCAGATGGCCAGGGCTGAGGTCACCGTGGAGAAGCATCCTGAAGAGTCTTCTTTATCAAGTGCTGGAGAAATCAAACCAGAGACTCCAGAAGAGAATGCAAAGGCACAGAATCCCGAGCAAATTGTGCCAAAGACACAGCAGGATAAAGGACTGGGACAAACCGAAGCTGGGGAATCCTGCAAAGCTAGCGCTCTGGAGGCAGAATCTGTAGCCGGCACAGAGGCCGCTTCTGCCAGCAAAACTATCCCAAAGGCTTCAAACGTATCCAAGGCAAGAGCTTCAGCACGAAGAAAAGAGGAGGAGAAGCCAGCCAGCAAGCCTGTCACCAGGAGCCAAGGGGCCGCCGAGAAGGCACTGGTGCCGAAACAAACGAGTCAGCAAAGGCCAGCTAACAGCCGGTCAAACATACCAGATAGCGGCAAGTCTAAGCTGAACGTGAGTTCGGTGGTGGTGGTTGTGTTAGGCAGTGGGAAGAGCTCCTCGCAGCAAGACAAGGACTCCCCGGTGGAGACTAAGGGGAGTCCAAAGCAGAGCCGAGAGCAGGAGAGTAGATCATCCACCCTGAAGCGGGACAGCAGCGGCAATAAGGTGAGGAGGGCAAAAGCACTGGCTGGTCCCTAACCTTGACGCTTCTTCCAGACCTTGAAACAAGTCCCCGTCCCCTTCCTGTAAGCAGATGCATTCAGTGGCGCCACCGAACAGGTTGGCACCACGCGGTTTCTGTAGGGAGGCACGTTTGAAAGAGCTTTACGTGGATGCATTTGAAGGATGGGAGGAAGGAGCCAGTTCTTCGCGATGCAGTTCTGAATGGACACGCAGTGTTCATTTTTCCTGTGGCTGTTCCTGAGATCCCTGTTGCGAGGCGCTGTTTCCTGTGTGGAATCCCGACTGCTCTGTTTAGACTCAATCCTGAAGTAAGATAAGTTACCCATAAAACAATTGGTGCGCTGAATACTTGGGTCTTAAAACGATTGGCATGGTCTCAACTTGCATAGTGTGTAAGGAATATCACCTCAGTTTTAACGTGTTTATTAATTGTGCTTACAAGGCTGTGGTCTTGATGGTTAACCATCTTTCAACTTCTGCTCCCCAGGGGTCTACTGGGAGAAATACCAGAAGCTCTAAAAGCAACCCAAAACCCAAAGAGGTAAGTGAGCCAATTACGACAGTTCCTCGTAACCCAGTGCAGTGGTATGTGGAAATGATTTGGGAGATGGGGAAGAGCCGCAGCCTGGGCAACAGTGGCGTAAACGGCAGCTGAGCCCGCAGAAGGAACGTGAGCAAGACGAATGTCTTGGAAGGGACCCTCCCTAGTTTCTTGGGCTGTAAAGGCAACGGGGGAGAAATGTACTTTCAAACTTGCAACATTGATATCAGCCTTACGAGGTAGTCCAGACAAGAAGCATGCCAAGAAATACTAGCTCTACTTTATTGTAAGGTTACATTAACAGAATCTTGCAAGTCTGAAAGTACATCTCTCCCCCTTCATCTTTACAGCCCAAGAAACTAGGGAGGGTCCCTCCCAAGACATTTGCCACGCCCCTGTTCCTTCTGCGGGCTCAGCTGCTGCTTATCCGACTGTTGCCCTGGCTGTGGCTCTTCCCCCTCTCTCCCAAAGTCATTCCCACGTATCCTTTATGCCCAAGGAGCAAGTAAGGTCATATTTTCATACCAAATTGGGCCCTTTCCTGGATCAGGAGACCCTTTAGAAATCACCTATGCCGTAGTCATCTCACAGCTCAACTATTGCACGGGGCTGCATTTGAAGACCACTCAGCAGCTTCAACTGGTCCAGAATGTACAGTGAGGGCAGTTATGGGCCTGCTTTGGTATACCCACGGGACACCGCTGCCTCACACACTGCCCTGGTTGCTGGTTTGCTTCTGGGTGTGAGTCAAGGTGCTGGTTAGGACCTAGAGAGGTTACATGGCAGAGGGCCTGGCTGTCTGAGGGACTGCCCATCTCCCGTGGTGTCTTCCTGGCCAATTCGATCTCACGGGATTAGGGAGCTCCAGGTCCCTTCAGTTAAATAAGGCCATCAGTTGGGACCCTGGAAGTGCCCCATCTGTCGCGGTGCCTGCGCTCAGTGATGAGGCTCCCCCGAGACCTAGATGACATTCTGAAGAGCAAAAAGACCTGGCTCTTCTCCCAGGCCTCGATCGGGTGGTGGGTGTCCCTTCATCGGGACGCAGTGGGTATGCTTGGTATATGCAGGGGGCCCAAATCTCAGAACATAAAACTACTCCTGTATCACTACGAGGGCCGTGCGGCAGCTCTGGCCTAAAGGGGAAAAGGGACTTTGAGCACACCGATGCCCGCAGTGCCCCCGTCAGCCACTCCTTAAAAAAAGGAGGATCTTTTCCAGGAAGAAGCTGTGCGAGGCCGGGAAAGATGCACCCTCTGTAAGGAGTTGCTGATAGCGGGCCTCCGAATCTCCTTTTCCCCAAACTGAATCCAAATGGTTGCCCGGCCCTAATAACTTGTCCTTCGACCTCACTGTTTGCCACCTCTGGGGAAATTATTTCTACTGAAAGGTGAATTGTTACAGTTGAAGGAAGTAACTTGCCCAGGACTGTGCATATTCCGCTCCAGAGTTGTTTTTAGTAGTTACTTTTTTGGAGGGCACCTTCACGTTAGTCTTGACTCCTGGCAACTGCCTGGACCAGTCCCTGCAGTTTTCTTGGCAAGATTTCAGAAGGGGTTTGCCATGGCTTCCTTCTTCCTAGGGCGGAGAGAGTGGGATGGCCCAAGGTCACCCAGTTGGTTTTGTGCCTGAGGCAGGACTAGAGTCTCCCAATTTTTAGCCTGAAACCTTAACCACTACACCAGACTGGCTCTCATCAATTAAAATGCAGGATATAAATATTATAAATAAATAAATAAACAGTGACAGAAATAGACTCCAAAAAGACAAACTGCTCATCTGCTTCTTTGAACCTGTAAAAGGTCTCCTTCATTCAGGATCACCCTCTAAAACATCCTCTTACTCTGCATTGCCAGCACACTTTATTTTTTCTTTTTCTTTCTTCTGATATTTGTCACAATTACATGTCTCTAGGTTGTTCACAAGTCAAATTATGTCAAATTGTGTTTTTTTTCTGTTCCTTTTTAGGAGGAGGAGCTTTTCCCATTTAATTTGGATGAGTTTGTTACAATGGATGAAGTTGTAGATGAAGTGGATTCTCCTTCTCAGCCCAGGAAGAACCCTGTAAGGGGCAAAAGGAAGGACCCCCCAAAGAAAAATACTCCCTACGAACCAAGTTCTAAGAGAAAAAAAGCTAAGATCTCGGCCAGTCCTGTGGCTGAGAGCGAGGTCTCCTTTGTAACCTTGGATGAAATTGGAGAAGATGAAGGTGGGTTGGCCCAAGTGGAGCTTCTGAACCTGGAAGCCATGGCTGATCCCCAGGCACTGGTCACAGTTGATGAAGTCAATGAAGAGGAGGAACTGATTGATGAAGTTATCAAAGATCCACAGTCACTTGTTACTTTGGACGAGATATCTGAGCAAGAGGATGCTGCTCTTCACGAGATTGCTAAGGGGGCCTTTACTTCAGGGGAAAATGAACCTGATCTTAAAGCAGAACCTTTAGTGACTGTGGATGAAATTGGGGAGGTGGAAGAGCTACCCCTGAACGAACCTTCACACTTCAAGGATGAGACTGTAAAATGCAAGGAAGATGAAAAAGTGGTGGTTGAAGATGCTGGAGATTATCTCTCTTCTCAGATTCCAGAGGATCCTAGCATTTTAGTTACAGTGGATGAGATTCACGAAGATAGTGATGACCAGCCATTGATGACTTTGGATGAAGTGACAGAAGACGATGAAGATTTCCTAGAAGATTTTAATCGCCTAAAAGAAGAGCTTAACTTTGTTACTGTAGATGAAGTTGGCAGTGAAGAGGAGGATGAAGAAAAATCTGACATGTCTCCTGGCAGAAATTTGGAAGAAGTGACCAAAACAGTACCAGAAAAAGAGGCTGTACTGCCAGTTGGAGAAGCAGAAGAGGATATCCGGTCTTCTGCAGAATTAGAAGACGTTGGAATCCCAGATGACACCCCGCTAGAACAGAGAGAATGTGTTTGGGATGACCTGCTGGAAGATGAAGTGTCTGCAGCCCAGCAGGGGGATCCTGACAACGAGAGCCCTGTGGAAGAGGAGGTAGAAAGAGATAGGCAGAAGGCTGTGCTAGAATGTAAAGAAAAGGATGAAGGAAAAGATTTGGAGAAAATAGACACAGTCACTGAATCAGAGTCAGGTTGCAAGCAGCTGTTGACAGGTAGGAACTGGATCGGCCTCGATAGGGACAAGCTCAAAGAAGCAGTAAAAGCTTTGTGTGCAAACTGAAAGCTTACACGTGCACCTTCTGTTTCCAGAGCCTGCTGTGAACCAGAAGAAACAATCCAGTAGCAAGGAAAGTGATACAGAGGAGGACCAGCAATCGCCTGGTAAGAGTACGTTGATGTAGCAGGTAGAAAAAGGACTTCCAGGAGCAAAAGGTACTTTAAAGAAACACTGCCCCCCCTTTGGCGGGGCTCTCCCTGTGAAAAGGGCTGTCTAGCTGGCACTGGCCGGAGGCTGAGCTGAGAAGAATGGCCTGGGGGGCTGTGTGGCTTTCTGGGGGCCGCGAGACAAATTCCCAACCCTGATCCTGCTGACTCCCGTCTGGCTTTGGCCTTGCAGGTCTCCTTCCCCCTGCCTGCTTTATCATTCCAGATCTTAGCTGAACAAATCTGGAGGAGTCCTGGAGTGATTTTATAAAGTGAGATTGGGTGTGTCACCCCCTCTCCCTCCATGTATGGTCCCCCCAGCCACCTCCTGCTCAGATCAATTACGTTTTGGTGCATACCTGGAACAAAGCTGCCCCAAAGTTTCAAAGCACCCATTTTGGTTTCGGCACGGACCACTTAAAACAGCTGCTTTATACCTGGAACATTTTGCCCATCCCAACGGTTGACCTTTGGTTCTGACTCTCAGCCATCTTGGTCCCCAAGTGTGAAAGGAATTAAAGGTTAATACAATGCAGTATAAATGCCCCAAGCTCCACCCGTTTGACCCTCTTTAATCGCCTATGTAAAGAGACCGTCATGGACTCAAGCATTCACTCCCCCATAAAGGCAAAATCCAGCTGGCTTATACTCCAGCGGGCAGGAGGTTGTCCTAGCAGAGGGAGTGCCAAGGATGGAAAGGATATATGGTATTTTGCTCTGGCCTCTGCCTCAGCCAGCTGAGCAGATGTGGCTGCCTGATGGCCTCTTAGGAGCTCCTCGTCTTCTGAGAATAATCTCCATGAAGATAGTAAGTGTTGCTTTCAGTGATTAGCTGAACAAAGCTTGGGGAGAGTGCTACCTAGGGGCGGAAGATCCTTTGTCCAAATGAGCAGAAGAGAAGAGTGGTGTAAATCAGTCATGCTGCCAATGTGCATCAATAACAAAAAATTCACTTAATGGATGACACATCTGTCTTGTGAAAGAATGACTGATCTATTGAGGTTTCTGTTGAAACAGGCCTGAAGAGCCACGGAGAGGGCGCAGTGGCTGAAGTGACTGGAATGGAAGTCGAGGGAAGCTCAGCAACCACTTCTGCGGAGGAGAGGACGGGAGATGCTGTAACAACACCTTCCCCAGGTGTGGGAGTTTCCACGGAGGACACGGCAGCTGGAGAACCAGAGGCAGGGTCCAGACTATCTGCCCAGAATCCTGGCCTGTCATCTGATGTGGTTTTGGGGAGCTGCAGTGAAGCGTCTCCATCACAGTCCTGTGAAAAGCCCTGCAGAGGTAGGAACCAGAGAGAGAGAGGAGCGCGCCGGTGTGTGCTTGGCCCCATCTCGGCTCTGCCCTCCTGGCCGCAGCCACCCTCTCCTTCTGCTGATTTCGCCCAATGGTGCAGCCTCTGGAGTTTGGAGAAGCAAGGGAGTAAGAGGCAGGCAGGCAGGCAGTCCAGAGCATGGCGTGATTGTGGCACTGTGTCGGTTACCGTGAAATGTGTTTGCTAATCAGAATGTCACTGTTGTAGATTTGATTGAATCCGAATGTGAAGAACCCGAAGCTAAACAAAGAAAAGTAGATTCCTCAGAGAAATTGAAGACTCCCAGCCAGCTGAAAGGTATGCCTGAGGATGCCCTTTGGGGCAGTGCACTCTGAAACAAAAGCAGTTCACCATCTTTATTATCTTCAGTGTCCAGTGGAGATCACTCGCCGAGAATGGTTTCATCCGTGCTCTTTTGGCTTCAGTGCACTTTGAAATGGGTGCTGATGTCTAAGAGCAGGTTTTCTGTGCATCACCCACTCCAAAGACTGCAGGCAGTTAACGTACTCTGAAACAACCCCCAGACAGTCACACCATAAAATGGCATTAATAAACTACCCTATCGAGACCCACAACCCACCTCTACTGTTACAAAATAAATCTCTTAATGGTCTTCTGGAAGGTTGGAGGTCCCACACCCTCAAGGGGAAGCTGTTTTACGGGGGAAAGGCAGCCCCCGAGGACCTAACCTGGGCCCCCATGTCTTCCACATCGTGTGAGGTGGGGACTGTTAACACCTGTTTTCAGGAGGAACATCCAAGGCAGTCAGAATGGACTTGGGAGAAATGGTCCTGCAGACACACAGCCTCCAAGTCATGTAGCCTCTAGCGGGTCTCAGTCACAGAATTGTAAGTTGGAAGCAAGATTTTGCGCTGGCCTTTTGCCTTCATCTTTTAGCAGCTACCCTCAATGTGGTGCTTTCTTGAGATTCCCCTTTCATATTTCAGGCAGATTTTTAGAGCTTCGGGTATATGCAAGACATTGCCGTCCAGACACCATGAACTGCTTCCTGTGCCAGATGATTTACTTTCGGTATGGCCGAAACGCTGTGTTGGGGAAGCAAACTGGAATAGGATGCTTTGCGTATCCCTGCCCAGTACTTCTTGGTTTAGGAAATAATTGAAGTGATAGTCGAAAACAAGAAATGCTAGGAAGGAGACATTTATTTTTATCAAGATACTTCAAGAAATGCTTAACATCGTCGGTGCTTGACAGTTGACGTCTTGGTCTCAGTTATATTTCATAAATATAAACAAACAATTGCCAGGTACTTTCAGCAGATCATTAGCTGTGATTTTCTAGTCTGTAATTTGCAAGGAAGGCTGCAGGTTGAATGCTGCTTTCTCTGTGCTAAGAACCTTCTTCCTAAGGGGAACCTCTGTGGAAATCTTTCTTAGAAGGAGACCACGGGTGGAGTGTGTGCGAGAACTGCTTAATTAGGGCTGGTGAAACCCAAAAGTTTGCGCTGGGGATGTCTGAACTCCAAACGTGTATAGAAATGAAGCTACCTTAGAGTACTTTGCCAAGAGGTTAATCTGGGGTTGAAGAAGAAGTGGGTCGCTGGGGCAAGAAGATGGCTGTCTCGGAGGCACTGGGTGGGCCGGTGAGAGAGGCATGTCCTACAGGTGCGTCAGAAGCAATGGAAGCCCTGCCCAAGGTGCTGTGGGAGAGAGGCGTTTTCGTCTGTCTTCATGGCTTTGAGTTTCATGGCCTTATGCTTGAGGAATCTGCCAGTCTCCTGGGCGACCTTCCCCCTGCTCGGTTAGCAGAGCTGTCCCTTGCCTTGCGACGTCAAGGATGATAAATGTGTGCCCGCCTCTCAGGCAACCCTGGTATTTCATCGTAAAGGAAAGGGCGCAGGCCTGGTGGGAGCCAAGAGAAAGAAGCCGGGACAGGGGCTGTCTGTGTAAGAGATCCTGGCCGGTTCCCAAGGCACCGAGAGGGGAGAGGAAGGTGCAGGGGCCAAGGGGGAAGGGAAGCTGGGAAGTGCCCTTCACGGCGGGCTCCACTGCAGGGCACTTCCCAGCTT